ATCGAGCAGATAAACTTAGACCAAAAATATGATTATCTAAAATTCATTTTCAATCTAAATCTAGCTGCTGAAAATTCTATCCCTAAATCATTTTCACGTACTAGAAATGTAATATTGAATTTTTAATAGTTGACCATTGCATTATCAAGGAAGGAGATGGTCCGGGGTGCCGGTCATAAATAAGCTAGATAGTTTTGCCACTATTTAGTCTATTTATGACCGCCACCCCGGACCATCTCCTTCCTTCAGAAATGTAATAAATAGTCCATGGTGGACACCAGAATGCCAGTCCTACAAAAACAATAGGAAAAATGCTTATAATAATTAATTAATGCTTATGGTCATCAGTACTACGCCTGGTCAGTGTGAGTTGCCTCCAGTAGACTGACTGGCCTCATATACCTTGGGAAGGGGGTCTCGGGCAGAGTGGCTTTCCCTGGCGGACGGTCACCCAAATCAGGAACGGACGCCCATCCAAGTGCTAACCACGCTCGGCGTTGCTTAACTTGGTTACCTATATCAGGCGCCTTAGCCAGCATGGCTACCCCAGCCGCCTATATATGACATTTATGCAGCATATAATATACGCAAAATGATTACTACTGTATTCATAGATATTTCAAGAGCTTATAATAGTAGTATATTCAGTGAATTAGGTAGGGCAATGTCTAATGTAGAACTTCCTGAAAGCATTATTTATAGAATTTTAGAATTATACAAGGAAAGGAATGTATTTTTGAGATTAAGCTGACAGATTACAGAACCACACTCAGATCGAATAGGTCCGCCACAGCAATGAATTCCAAGTTATCTTCTATATGCCGTCTACATAGCCGTTATAAATAAAAATATGATAGACACCTGTCACCTAATTCAATACGCCAATAACTGTTTATGTACTACAATTGGGAATTGGTTAGCTGTCTTTTTCTCGGACGCATTCGGGTGTTTTTGGGAATCTACGAGTTAGGTGTTATGACTGATCTAGAAACCAGCCACTATCTTGGAGTAGCAAAAGTAAATTAGTACCAAATCAACTTTCATGCAAAAATCACGTTTTAGCAATTATTTAAAAAGATTTTAGAAAAAAAAATGGATATTAGCCGGTGAGACGTGCTAAAAGTTGTTTACTGACACGTTGGCGGTACCCCCTCCCATTTTAACCAAGGAAGAGATCTAATCAAGGCTTAGTGGAGGTTTTAAAGGTCATCACTAGACTAGGTCACCGCTCAATAATTTGGTTTGGTGTTTAGCTGGTGTTGCCCGATAGCGAGTAATTTCGTTGGCGTAGGGCGGTTTTTAACAAACCTCGATCGATATTCTATAATAAAAAATATTTAATAATTTGCATACTCAACTTGAAATAAATTAGTATTCGAATGGGATATTTAAGATCCATTTAACGAAAAGAAATGAAGAAATGATGAATGGTATTATCAAAGATAAAACGATACATTTTCTCTGAATTAATAAATAATTAAAATCTATAAATAAATTATCCTAATCAGGATGCTTTCTGATGTCTCATTCTTAAAAGTAACCACGATTCATTTCATCTCAAGGTATTTTCATAGAAAATTAGGTTTAGAAGAATTGAGGCTAACCTCATAAATGTGAGAAATATTTTATGAAGAATATACATAACATTGAAGAAAACTTTAGTCCTGTATATCCAAAGCTTGTAAGCTTGCAAGAATCAAGGTTTTGCAAAGTGGCAAAGTTTAAACATGCTTATTATGAATATAAAATTACACAAAATAAATTAAAATTAAATAAATACAGTAAAACGTTTTTTTTTTTAAATTATATCTGGCATATTAAGTGAGTTATTGGTATTATATTTTTAATAATGAAATAAAAGATTTATAAAATGAAACATAATATAAAAAATAAAAATAAATAAAATGGAATTTTTAGAAAAACAATTTACAATTTCATGCTTTCAACTAAAATTGTCCATTTCATAATTATAAATGACAATAGATTTGAATCCTTTTTTTTTAACGCTTGCTCTATATCTAGAAAAATAGTACGAAAATTGTACTTCATTTTGTGCAGTTTAGTATTGAATATAAAAACATTTGCATTACACTGTTGAGCAAAAATAATATTTAAATAAAAAGAAAAAGGTTTTGGGATTTTTAAAAGATTCGTCCATTTTAAAAGATATGTTGCTCGGTTACTTTTAAGGTTCAGAAAAAACGTTTCCCATAAAAGTGCTAGAAAATTTCTGGTTACAAATGAATATAAGCTGAATACCAAATACTTAAATCTTCGACGCTTGTAAAAAGTATATATGTATAGCTTAAAATGAAAAAAAATCCTAAATATTGATGATTTTCCAGTGTATGCACATCATTTTATAAGTAGAAATCTTGAATTTTTTTGTACTCAATATGTTCCTTACACTATAAAAAAGAATCTGAATTGCCTAACTTTTCAAAAGGTATAACACTTTTTTTCTTATAATTTGACAGGGCTAAATATCTCTGTAGTATTCTACATTGAAGTCGCAATGAGTCAACTTGAAGCAATGAACAATAGTAATTCTCTTTAATCGCCGCGGTCTAAGTTTCCTTTGCAAGTTAGCTTGGGATTGTTCCTAATCCCTAATTCCAATAATAGACAATTTACTTTACTGAGCGTCCATAAAAGGCTTCTCTATATCAACTGAAAAATCGGAAGTATGTATTTTTAATTAAAAAAGGAAACAAAGAGAACAGGAATTTTTACCCATCATCAATCAGAAATTCTCAATACAAAAGGAGACAAAGTTCTTAGGTCCCATCTTAGATCAGAAATTGATTTGGCACCAACATATAATTAAAATTTCCCAGAAATATGATAAATACAATAATATATCAAGGTTTATCTGTTCAACTAAATATGATGCAGATCCTAAAATATGAATTAATTTCTATAAGGCAACAATAAGGGCTATAATTGATTTAGGGTAATCATTTACTTTTTTTAAGGGAATGCGGCAAAATCTAAATTACTCACACTCGATAGAATACAGATCTATTATATATATATATCTAATAGATCTATCAGAATAAGCTTAGGTCTACTTAATATCAGCCCAATTAACAACATTATAGTTGAAGCTTGAGAACCCCCATTGACAATCAGAATGTTATGAGCAGTAAATTTGTTTTAAAATGCTTGCAGCGGACAATTTAAATAATAAACTGGTTCCATTAGCATCAGATACTCTAACTCACAGATATTGCAAAAATAAAATTCCCTTCCCGTTGATAGCAGCTTTATTAAAATTGTGTAACTATAAAAACATTATTCATGTTCTGAATAAACCTCCCATATTTATTAGTATTTTAACGAATATACTGAATTAAATTTTCCTTCCTTTTGTCTAATATTCACTGACAGATCTAAGAGCCCTAAGAAAGTGGGTGCTGCTATCTATAATGCCACAGTACCCTTATTAATATACATGAAAAGGCTTCAGTTTACATGGCTAAACTGGCAGTGATATTGGAAGCTCCGAATTATATAAAAGACAGCAATTACAGTAAAACTTCAATTCTGACAGTTTAAGTGCCATAAAAATACTAGAAAATCAAAATTATAATTCAAAATGATCATATTTAATAATTTCAATTTTAGAAAAAAAATTCTTCTAATTGAATGACAAGGAAAAACTGTTAGATTTGCTTGGATTAGGGGCCACACAAGTATTAAAGGTAATACATCTGTTGATTACTTAGCGAAGGAAGCAAGAAAAATATTTGAATTGTCTGATTGACTGGTATCATGCAATAAATATGTTGCAGAGAGATACCATTTCATCAATCATATTAAAAATCTAATAAATATGGACAGCCCATCTTATATTGATATAATAACAAACCCTAATTCGGCTGTGGTAGTGTTATGTCTCTTTGTAAACTCCACAGGAATTAAATTATAAAAAATAAAGTCTGTTAGTTAATGATTGAGGAAAATAATTATTTGAAATAATTGCCATATAAAAGTTTGGCTAATGACGTCCAGCTAAAGCCACGTCAAAAAAAAAAACTCCTGTAACAGCAATAAAAAAAAAAAAACTAGGTGGGGCGTCTTTTGTGTTAGAAAGAGGAAAGACTTCCAAAGCTAATCCTGTCGGAGAATTCCAGTAGAATACGGAATCATGAAAGACACAGGTATGACATGAGGTACAAAGTCTGAGTAGAAGCCTTTGTTGAATCATAGTAGTATTAATAAATACGATTTTTATAAATTAGGCTTAAAGCAAATTGCTATATATATATATATATATATATATACTTCAAAAGTTAAAAAAAAAAACAGTAACCAATGATTTAGTTAATATGGTAGACTTTTTACTCGTGGAACCTTTTTTTTTATAACAAAATTATCCTAGCTTTATTTATAGTCCATAGTAATGGGCTATTAATGAAACTAGGATAAAACGTTTACTTCTTCCTAAAATTATTGAAATTAAAAGTAATTTGACAATGGATGGGTCTACAAATGTACATGATCATACGTTATAAATGAATAAAGTAACTGATAAATAATCAAATTTGACCTAACCACAGTAATTTATATTAAGACTCATACATACAATGTTCCATGAAACATGCTCAGCTGTTGATTAAAGGATCAAGTAAAATAATCATGATTAATATATTCTTGCCTAAATATGTGGTCAATTAACCACTTATCATTAAATTAATGATGATGTCGTAAAGACCACTACAATTAGGGTTAAATTTTAACTGAGATGAGAACAGAATTTTAATAATTTCAAAGGAATATATTATGGCAAATAAATGGTAAAACTTGTCAATACACAGAACCTGCATTGAATTTAAAGGAAGGGTATTAACATGGAACTAAGAAACTTTTTAAAACTCTAAATAGTCAAACAACCTTTGACAATTAAAAAATATCCCAATTTTTGGAGAACCTAAACCGAAATTTATGTGATACCTGCTAAAATGACAACCTTGAAACATCTAAGTAATAATATTCACCTGATGTTCCAGTTTTTGTTGCCTATTCCCAGCAGATGTCATGATAATTTTTTTAATTTATTTTTCACAAATTTCATTAAACATACTTATATCAAACATTTTAAAACAATTTTCAAGACACTAAGTACAACCGAACAACTAACAAACTAACCATAACAACTGTCATCAGTGTTGTTATGGCAACCGTTATCTTCCCTCCTACAATTTTATAAATAATCATAAAGAGTAAAGTAGTTTGTATTAGTAGCCGTCTGTGGTTAAATATATTAGTTTTATTTATCGAACTAAATAAATAAATTCTTTAAATTATTTTTAAAAATAAATCATTCACTTTTTTAGAACAATCAAGATATACGGTAAAAACTTCCAAAACAGTAAAAAGCCTACAATTAGTACCTATCAGATGGTCAATATATTGTCGAAATTTTATATTGAGCGAGCAAGAAGCCTTAAGGCAGACATAAATTAACTTTCGGTTTAAAATAATACGCATTAGCATTTCGTCCTACATCTTAAGTTTAAAATTTAAAATAATAGGTTATTTTCTTTTTTTATAAATTGAGACAAATCAATATTGTAATAGATCATTAATTTTATTTATCAATGTTTACATACAACGTTCTATATTAAATAAATCTTTTTATAATTTATTTAGTTTACTCTGTAATCAACTGTCAACATTTTTTAATTTCGCATTTCTACTAGGTAAACAGTGAATAGTATACAGTGGATTAAAACGGATTGGCACACTTAACTTCTTTCAGGTTTCATTTTAAAAGAATCCGAAATTGATATGCTAAACAATTTTATTTCATAAAAGATTTAGAAAAACACATAATTGGGGTTAAACAAATTTATTTAATTAAAAAATTCAGCAAACGAAAAATCACTTCCACATGGTCTAAAAAGGGTAACATGTACCATCAGTATTCTATGTATTTATGTCCGGAGATTTTGGTGGCGTTTTCAATTGGCTGGGGACATTGTACATCATCCATTCTTTTGTTTTCGCATTGGCAAAATGCGATTAACATTTTATGGGAAATGTCAGAGCCTCTAACAATAAGCGGAAGTGATCTTTATTGATAGAATTGACATATCAGGCAAGAGATAGGTCGGTACCCTTCGGCACCAACTCCTAACTGAAATAAAAAGAAAAAGATAATACAGGAGATCCCTTAACCAGTTTCTTTTCAGCCTTCGTCGGGCGTTTTCTGGCATATTTCTCGTGACCATGTTTTGTATAAGTATGTTGGTATGTTCGTGAAGTTTGGCATGGAATTGTTATATGATGTCCGGATGTGATCTTGTACCATCGGTATGATTAAGTCTGTGTGTGATGTTTTATTACTGACGTGCCAGGGTGAGCTCGTGATGAGTCTTAAAGAATTTGATTGGAAAGTTTGTATTTTTTTAATTTGGGTCTTTTTTGCTATCCCATAAATTTGCGATGCATAAGTCCATACGGGTTTTAGTAAGTAAGTGTAAGTATGCAGTTTTTGTCTCATTTTTAAATTATATCGTTTGTACAAGAGAGAATAAAATAGCCTTAGTCGATTATTTAGGGTAAGGCGTTTTTATTTAATATGTGGCCCCCAGGCCATCCTCCTGTCGAACGCGAGTCCTAAGTATTGAACTGTGTTAGTCTGTTGTATGGAGACAATATTTATATAAATTGGTGTACAAGTGTTGGAGCGTGAAGGAGATGTACTGAGATTTATCACTGTTGAGTTTAATTTTCTATCTGTAGGGGTCTGTAGGAGGAAGGGCTATTGGGATTTTAGTTCGGTTTTTGTATCATTAGTACTTGTGAAAACTTCCATTGCAATGGGCATTTTATTGTCCTTAGTATGGCGTTGAATAGGGTTGTTGGATAGACTATTGCTTTTCTGGGCATATGTTGGAGTGGCTCAACAGTGATCAGATTCCCTGGGGCTTTTCTTTTGGGTAACTTCGAATCGCTTGTAGTACTTCAGATGGAGTGAAAGCCGGAGGAAGTAATGGTAGTGGTAAGGGGATTGCAAGAGAATTTTGTAAATAACTTTCATGTTCATTGTCTGGGTAGTCTGTATGTGGTGTGAAGAGTTCAGCTTCTTCATTGTCTGACACAACCCAAGAACTATCCTCTTTTCGTAGTGGCGCAGATGATACACCTCGCGATGCTTTAGCAGCTTTTTAATGTCTCCATAAGCTTCCATCGTCAGTTCTGAAGTTATTTATAAAAGTATCATTGTTAGTTAGTTTGAATGTTTTTCTTTGTCGTTTTAGTTGATTATTTATTCGGTTATATGTCTGTTTATCTGATGGTGGTCTGTCAGTCTGCCATATCTTTCGAGCTCTTGGCTCTGATAAAATCTGTTATTCACTGTGGTTAGTTAGGCTGGTTATTTATTTGTTTGTGTTTCGGAATTGATGAGATCCGTGCAGATTCCTGGATGTTCTTTGTCAATACTTCGACGGCATCTTCGTTTTTGTTTTCATTGTTTAGTGAGAGGGGAACTGAAAACCGCTGATTTAAGTTAGCTTGAAAACAATTCCAATCTATGTTTCCATGAATATGTGATGGGGCTTTTCCTTTTAACATGGTTCTTCAAAAAGGACCAAGTATAGAAGGTAATGATCAGAGCATAGATCACAGCTAGACTTAACTGAGAAAGATATGGCCTTTAATCCTTTAGTAATGAAGAAGTCCAGTAGGTCAGGTGATTTTAGTCACGATGTAAGCCAATAAGTTGGAGTATTTGGTTATATGGTGTTTAACGAAAGCTTATGGAGCGAAGACCAAAGATTTCTACGTCTATAAGAGCACGGTCGTGAACCCCATAACTGATGCTTAGCATTGAAGTCGCCACAAGCAATGAAGAACAGAAAAACCTTTCCAATTTTTCAAAGAAACTACAAAATGTGTCGGGTGTCAGCGAGTAACGAGGAGGCAATATACTGCTGCTAATGTTATGGAGTACAATGTTGTAGCAGTAGCTTGTATGTCCGGTATTTTCGGCAAATGTATAGGATAAATGTTTGAGTGATGTTTTGACAATGATGGCAGTTCCGTCATGTGAAGTGTGTCTGGGTGATCTGTTCTGTAAATTGTGTAATCTGGGATATTTACTTTATTTAGAGAAGTGAGGTGTGTTTCAGTTACCAAAACAATGTCAGTTCGTTTTGCATGTGCAGTTCGGTTTTATTTTTGAGAAGTCCATTTGTGTTCCACAGAAGGATGGATAGATAACCCACAGTTAAGCTTTTATGTACCATAAATAGGACAGTAGGCTTGTGTTACTGATAGTTGTTGCAGTAGATTAAAAAGAGGCTGTGTAACACTATTTAAACCATTTAATAAGTAGTAAAGTCAGGAACAGGCATTTTCAGCATGAAGTACCGGCTGAGCAACACCCTGTCTCATACCTGACATGCTTACATTTTTTTTATGTCTTTCTTCTTTAATGGTTGAAGCCCTAGAAAGCAAGCAGTATTGCTCGGGTGCATTTCTGGACATAGCGCAAGCTTTTGACCGGGTATGGCACGCCGGATTACTCTTCAAGCTTAAAATCCATCTACCATAGTCCTTATACCTAGTACTCCGATCCTATCTTTCCGACCGCTCCTTCCGAGTTCGCTGTGGCACCGAATTCTCCGACTGTTACTCAATTGAGGCTGGCGTTCCTCAAGGCAGCGTCTTGGGCCCCATCCTTTACATTCTCTTTACCGCTGATATTCCTGTCCATCCCGATACCCTCCTGGCAACTTTCGCTGATGACACTGCTATCCTTTCTTCCAACTCAGATCCTGAAACAGCGTCCGCAAACTTACAAAGGCACCTCTTCCTGATTGAACACTGGTGTAAGAAATGGCGCATTAAGGTAAACGAATCTAAATGTAAACACATTACCTTCACCCTTCGGCGTAATACCTGCCCACCAGTTTATTTTAACTCCATCCAGCTTCCTTTCTCAGATACAGTCCGGTATCTTGGCTTTCTCTTAGACAGACGACTAACATGGAATCCACATACTCGACTTAAAAGACAGGAACTTAACAGACGATATGGCCAGCTATATAGACTACTGAATAGAAAATCTAAACTTTCTGGTGAAAACAAATTACTGATCTACAAGACAATACTGAAACCCATCTGGACTTACGGACTAGAACTATGGGGAACAGCCAAATTTTCTAACATCAAACGCATTCAATCCTTTCAGTCTAAAGTCCTCCGTACAATAGTCAATGCTCCCTTCTATGTAACCAATAAAACCCTACATCATGACCTTAATATCCCATTTATTCTTGATCTTATCCCAGCCAAATTTTCCAAATTTCACCAGAACCTTTCTCATCACCCAAATCCCGTTGTACAATCCCTATCAAGCACCACCCATCCCTACAATCCCCTTCGTAGGTTAAAGCGGCAGTGGCCACGAGACCTTTTGTAAATATGGATATTTTGGAGTTCTAGCAATGGCCAGATTCTCCACTCAAGTCATGAGTGTCTGTGGCTGTAGCGCTCTTACTCATCCTCCGCTGGTTTAAAATACCAGTGAAGTGGCTGAGGGAGAAGCGTAGGGATCTCTTAGGCCTCCCTTTTCCCTCCACATGTGGAGGGGACAGGATTGGTTCGGAGATCACCTGGCAAATTGTAAATAATGTATGTTTTATATAAGGTGTTTGTTTTACTTTTATTTCTATTTTTATTTACTTATGTGTATATATATTATTTTTTTTTCTTTACTCTTTTGTTCTTTCTTCTTATTCTTTTGTTATTACTTTATTTATTTATATTTTTGTATATACGGTATGAATGCAATCTCTGAACTCTATTATAAGTGTCCTTAACTGTGACAAATTGTAATATTTCTGAATAAAGTGTTTTAATACTTAAAAAAAAAAAATGGTTGAAGAATGCTGAGGCCCCTGCTGCTGTGGTCCAGTCGCTGGTCCTCTTTGAGAAGGCTGCGGTTGTTGCAGTGTAGAGAAGTCTTGTAGTCCCATTTGGAGAGCAGTAGGTTCAGGCCTAAGATGAGATTGTGATCTCAAAGTTT